GGGTGGTTCTTGCATTCAGTCAATCATGGATTCGGCGAAAACGGACAAGGTTATGCTCATGGGCAATGGTGATTACGCTGCCTGGAAAGACTATCTTGGGGGTACGAGATAGTCATGAAAGAGCAATTCGAGTGCTGCATTCCGACCAATTGATTGGCAGGTCATGACAATAATGAATGGATTCCAAGAGAGAAACCGTGAATCGCTATGGACAATTGGATATAACTACCGCTGGACTGAATTTTCGGCGTCTCAACCCCTGAAAACATTCGTAGCTGCCACATCGCAAGTGTTCAGCGTATCCAAAACCTCAGCACCAGACAAGTCAAGCGGTAGAGCGCGCTCTGCAGTCTCCGTCAATGTTTGCATCGCCTCAGTCCGGGTGGACAGTATCTCCATTGGTTGGCGTAGCGTCTCCTCCAAGTCTTGAAGAAGGGGCAGGGAGCCCCATCAGTTCGCGAAATATCGTTGGTTTTCCGAGCGCAACACAGGTGATCCGTATGATCGCAAGAAGACCGAATACAGCAAGGTAATCGTGCAAGTTGAACTTCCAGTACAAAGACCGAAGAAACCGAGGTAGAGGATTGTTCCAAAGCTTGTCTGCCCACCACAGTGTTGCTCCTCACATCACTTTGCAATGGGGACTCGTTGGAGGGCGGCAAGTTGAGCACTCGCACACAAAGCCCAAGTCTTGCTTCCCGTAATCCCACGTCAGCTGTTCGCCTTCCTTGATGTCTCGCCTGGCCTGGACGCAGATGTGTTTCTTCAGGACGAATTTCGCTAGCCCTTGAGGCCCGATGCGCCAGGAGCAGTTGGGCCCGTCAGGCAATTGGAGCTCTTCGGTGCTCTTCGGCCGCCGCGAGATTTTTGGCGTGCAGCAGTGGTTGACGAGCGAGCCGAGCAGGTAGATGCAGGCATTGTGAGGCTGTGTGGCTATTGGTTTAGACTTCCCCGGGAGACCGCCTTGGCTGTCCTTTCTGGCGTCGAAGGCATAATGTCGTAAGAAGTTTCGGGACGCGAGACGGCAATCGTGCTCCGATGGGCTGTCGGCAACTTGAATTTTGGCCCTGAACGCTTCGTACTCCTCTTTAGTGATAGTTGAGCCCGCATAGCGCCCATGGACGAGGAACTTGCCGATGGTGCTACCCCTCAGGACACCATCCGCCTTGTCAAAGGACGCCGGCGTGACGCCATGACTGGCGGCAAGGACGGGGTAGGCGGTAACGAGCTCGTCCGAGTTCTCCGCCACGGCGTTGCGATAGGCGGTGAGCTGACCACGCATCAAGGCCAGGTTCTCCGAGTCCGCCTCGTGGAAGAGGGCGCTGAGGATGGGGGCCTCGTGGAAGATGAATTCATCCTTCTTGAAGTCTCGGGCCGCAAAGAGTCCGTATCCTACGGCGGCGCTCACGAACCCAATCCGGACCGCAGGTTCATTTTTTGGGGCATTGCTGAGAGCCCTTTGGGGGAGCTAGGCAGCGGTTTTAGTAAGCCTTGATCGACAAGAGCCTGGGGGATTGTAGGATGAGTGATGATGGCCAAGACATACTTTGCCTTGCTTCGAGGCGTCAAAGCCAATATCTGGTATGTCTGTTTCTGGTTGAGTATTCGCCATTGATGTTGATGTCATCCCTCGTCGGTGGTTGTGAGTGATGAGATTCGACGCAGCAGTGGCACCCGCATCCGCGCAGATAAATCAGCACCCGGCTGTGCGAGCCGAGCTCGAGGAAGGAGCCTGTCTCGGTCGTCTTAGCGACAGATTGCAGAAGGAGCACGGGAATGTCAACGAAAGGGGGAGAAGGGGCAGGTCTGAAAATGAACAAGTTTGGCTCGGCGCGTCTATGTACATGGGCCACGGCGGGTATTTAAATCTGTACGAATGGTTCCTGCCTCGCTCAGAACATGGCATTACTCGGCCTTGCTGGCCAGCTTCTGTGCCTTGCGCGCCTCCTCGTCGAGGTGCTGTTTCTGATAGTGCGCAATGACCTTGTCCAGGTTGACATAATGTCCGGCGGGGACGTTGTATGGAGAGCCGTGTTGGAAGGTCCTGTCACGTGGTCAGCACGGTGCACCAATTACAGAACTGGATCCAAACGAGGGGAGACGAGACAACCCGGAGCACAACTCCTCGACCCGAACTCCGGTTCCGTCTCAATTGAGCCTGAGCCTGGCCTTTAGCCCTTGGATCATGAGAATCCCTGCGCAGAGCGAGACTGCTGACGACTGAGGCAGAACCGAAGTAGAGGCGGCCGAGGTTATTGTGCGGAGTCCTGTAACACCTTCCAGCGACATCAATTGGGCAACGGCCCAGCTGGAGAGCTCTCAAGACATTTCTCTGGCGGTGTCGTCTCCCCTATCTCGATCCTGGGCGGATTTGTAAAGCACATACTCAGGGTAGCTGAGCTCAATGTGGGGGTTCTTCTGGACATTGTAGAAGAGATGCTTGTCCTTAGCAGCTTGCTGAATAGCGGCTGTGGTGTTGTGATTCTTCTCCTCCCATTCCCTGCTCAGGTCGGCGGCCTTCTCCAGCCACTTGCCAATCGTTGTGAGCTCGCCGTCCTTGGCCGGGCGCGAGATCTGGTAGACAAAGACTGAGACGGGGATGGCCGCGAACGCCAGGTAGAAGCCGGGCTAGATGGACCAGTTAGCATCCATATTCTGCCTCTGTGTGCCAGCTCCAAGCTCGCAGCCATCTCCTCCTCGCATAGGGAGCATACCCCAAAGGACTCCTCCACAGTGTGCTCGTGGTGGTGGCCATGGCTCCCCGAAGCATAGGATCTCGTGTTTCGCACACCAGTCAACCGGGTCTGGCGGGCAACGCAGGCGGCCCGTTGTCTAAGAGCCGACATCTTGGAGTGAGGGTCCTCGCGCGGTCAATGGCGGGTAACAAAGGGTCGAGTTTCGATGGGTCTCAGGGCTCGCTGCTCCCCCTCGCTCGACAATGCTCGCACCAAGTTTCTGCCTTGGTGGAATTGCCGACAGAGAGGTCGGAAACAGCGATCGACCTTTGGTGGAGGCGGTTGTCGCAGCGGCTCAATCGAGAGGGCTGCGCGCAAGAAGGTGGTCGTCAATTACTGAGGTACAAATTGACGTGAAGCTTGCGATCAATGAAGCCAGAGCTTGGCAGAGCTGTCCCGCTCACGTAAGCGCTCGTGGCAAGCGAGCCTGCCCTTGCCAAGCTTCGCGGCAGTTGGGCCAATCAACGCATGCCCAGTAATAGCGCTGCAGGCCGCTGTAGTTGACGAATTTCAGGGGGCAAAGTCCACTATCGCCAGCTGTCCTTTCAGCTTCATTTCTTGACTCATTGTGACAACCACGGATTCACTTCAGGACATGGTGTTCCCTGAAAGCATTATTGACGGTCCCACTTAGTTCCCGTAAATTTTCTCACTCCAGGTCTCATTCGCATCAGTCTTCGCTGCAATATCCAGTGTTCGACCCGCCAACACATCCGCTGACAGTTCAGCCGGAGAGCCATAGCAGTCCAGCCCATTGCCTGTTGCGTTCTTCAGTACACACCTACAAAAATGGCCAAACTACGGCTGCGGGCGCTGCCTCTTACTCTTTTGGCATTGATCGGGGTAGCCGTCTCAGGCGCTGCGGCATCATCTCCTTCGCCGAGAGAATCAGCGCCCTCCGCCTCATCCTCACCATCGCCGTCAGATGAGAACGAACTCATATGCCACACCGACAACCCAGCAGAGTGTTATCCCAAGGTGTTCCAGGCAACTGACGAGTTCCAACTCGTCCACGAAGACCAAGATCTTCCCAAAGGACTTCATGTTCGGCTCGACGTCCAAACCGGCCGCAAAATGGCCAAGATCAACATCCCCGACGAGGCCCACCCAGCTCTTGAGGGTCTTCCAGTTGACAAGGCTGTAGTCATCGTCGACCCGGAGGAAGGGGAAGACAAAGTCACCCAACCACTAAAAATTCCAGCCAACGCCCCAGGGTACGAACCAGTCGGCAAAATCAAGGAACCCAAGAACCCCAACAGTGAGGAAGGCAGCGCCTTCTACCGCTCCCTCTCCATCCTCAAGAAGGGCCTAAATATCGACGAGGCACTCGAGATGCTCGAAGACATCTCCCATGACATCTACTACGGTCTCAAGATCGCTGAGGATCTCGACACTGTCCGGCAACTCTTCTGCCTCGCAAACACACCCGCCATCTTTGAATCCACTGATGACACCGAAACCGTCCTCAGTCGTGCCCGCGTCGCCGCTCTAACCCTCGGCTCTGCCGTGCAAAACAACCCCAAGGCCCTGGCCGAGATCGAGAAGCACTGGGCCACCCTGGAGAAGGAGAAATGCCCCGGATCCGAGGAGACCCTCGGCACGGCCACCTTCCGGCTTGTTCCCCCGCCCTCACCGGTGGCCAAGAAGAATGACCCCTCCCTGGCCAAGGTGCGGATCTCCGCCATCAGCGGACTGCTCAAGAACGATGCCATCCGCGAGCAGTTCCTCGCCAACGGGGGCATGGAGCTCCTCCTTGAGGTTTTGGTAGGGAGTGAGGACCCAGATTGGGAGCCAGCCCAGAAGAAGGTCGGTTATCTTATCCTAGATAACTTCCTGGATGAGGACATGGGCGCCGCACTAGGGGAGTGGCCCATTGGAGGCCAGGCAAAGGACGGAGAGTGCGAAGCCAAGTCTGAGGTGCACAAGGATTGCTGGGATTGGCATGCGCAGAAGCTTGCCAAGAGGTTTAAGTCGGAAAAGGGGCATTGGAGTGCTGAGCTGTTGAAGAAGCTCAAGGAGCAGAGGAAGGCGAACGGCGCGAATGGCGCTAAGAGGAGAGGGAAGAAGGATGAGCTGTAAATTAGGAGTGTGTAAAGCATAGCGTGGTAATATACCCTTTTCTTGGTCAGTTTCAAGGAGCTCGCTATTATGTGCGTGACAGCTTTGCCCACTACCCGCCGCTCCCTTTCTGTCGACGGCCTCTTGTAAGTCACCTCCCATGCGTGTGTATACTTAGGGGTCTAGTGGACTATTATATATCAACAAGCGGGTTTAGCTCAGTTGGGAGAGCGTCAGACTGAAGTAAAAACTTCATTTCATCAATTCAATTGATACCTTATCTGAAGGTCATGTGTTCGATCCACATAAACCGCAACCATCTTTTTTGCTGTTTTATATCTTTTTCGGCCGTCTTGGCGGTTCGCCGGAGAGGAAGCCCCATTCTATTCCGGCTGACTCGGAGAGGCTGAAGAGAATACGATTTTTTTTCTCTTAGTTTATTTATTGAAGGAATGATCCCAGTGTGCAGTTCTGGGGGCAGAACCTGACCGTGAAGTTCTTGGTGATCATAACATCATCATACGCTATCGCCACCGTTTCACCGCGTCATGTGGCTTGAAACTGCGACTGAGGGCTTTGTTACTTTTGCACAAACTAACGAGCACGTCAACCGCCCTTAGATTTATATTGACAAGCGCACTTTGATAATCACATATGACTTGAGCAACTAATGCCGTTGCTACCCTTCCTTCTCCATATATCTGACTTGTGAAACACTTGGAACAGTTTGCACAAGCTGGGGGACCTGGGTCGAGGCAACGCTTTGGGTCAGATAAAATATCTCCGGGGGGTGAGAGGGGGTCAAAGGCGGGTAAATACTGTCTGCATCGGTGCGAGTGCGAGTTGTGTCAAACCCTGAGAAGTCGATACGAGACCAGTGTAGCAGCAAAGCTGCACACACATGCCTAGCCACACTGGCTTGACAAACTCCTCGACTGGGTTAAAATTCCGCAGGACTCAGCGTCGTTCGCAGCAGCTTGGTGACCCTTGTTCATCTCAAGCTGCTACAGACAAAGGACTTCCCATTGTACGAATAGATAACTGAATGATAGTCCAATGCGCCTCATATCATTACATCTATGTCTAGGTCTACGTGCTGTGCTGTAGGCAAATCTAAACGCCAACAGCCGTATTGAAGGACGTCCCTTGGACCGTGGATGCGTGAACATGACCCCATGGGTGAAGGGTAGCTCAGAACCACGAGAAACCGCTACTTGCAGCATGGATTGGACGAAAAACACATGGGCTGTCTCGACACTGTCAAAGCCCAGACGACCGCTAAACGGGTTGCGAGAGCTGCGCCGATGGCCACCAGAAGGAAACACCAACAATACCGCTTTAGTTCAGGCAAGATGCTCTATTTTTCCCCACAAAAGAAATAACTCCCCGAAAAGCATTACCGAACTCCGAACCAGTGAAATTAACGTGAGTGGCTTCCAACTTGGCTGCCGTCTCCACGATCCGAGGGTGTTGCTGCCCACCACCGCTACTAGTGGATCGATCTCTCACCGAAACCGTTATGCTGCCGTTGTTGCTATTACTGTCGTCCCCAAAACCTTCGCAATCTTGCTGTGCTCCAATATTTCTAAAATCGGTGCTGGCCAAGTCGCTAGAGATCGCCAGATCTGACACCCGTGTTACCGAAACCACTGAGATTCCAGCCGGAATACTTGGATGTCGGCCCGCCTGAAATCACACTCGGGGGCGGGATAGGAGGGAGACCATGGTTGCTGGCGGGCTCCTTCTTGGTCGGCGGTGGTGGGAGCTGAGTGGGCTTCTGCTCCTGCTGTGCATTCGATGCAGCAGCCTCAGAAGACGAAGTGAGGTCCTTGGTGAGAAGCCCCCTGTCCTGCAGATACTTGAGGGTTTGAACAATCGTCAAGTCCTCCTGCTCTTTGTCGTTCAAGGTGAGACGCTGTTGGAGAGTCATGCGGCCTCCGTTCATCTCTCGCGCCTTCAAGGCCTCCTCGCGCACATCAGGATCATGGACAAAGCGGCACTTGCCCCGCTTACCGCAAGTTCCTCCAGTCGAATAATACTTGCAGTGCTTCTTCGGATCAGCCTTCTTAGGCGGAGGAGGGACAGAAGTGGGCTCCTGTTTGGTCGACATGACCTCGGGCTTCTCATCGTCCGACTTGGACTCGCTAGAGGGCGACGAGCTCATGTCTATGTCGCGCATGTCATCACCTTCATCCTGCTGCTCACGTTTGCGCTTGATGTTCGACTCAACCTTTTCGAGCTGCTTCCGGAGCTTCTCGGCCTTTTGTTCAAGCTTCTCGGCTTTCTGGTCAAGAGTTGCACTGCGACCCTCGGCAGCCTTGGCGTCGCCGTTTTGACCCTTGGTCGCGGCAGCAGCAGCGGCTTTCTTTTCTTCGGTCCTGGCCTTGGTGGGGAAGTTCGCGCGACGCTCTGCAATCCAGGCTGCAATGTCTGTCGGCCTGAAATCGGATTAACAGATGATCAGATGCGAGAAACAGCAACAGGTGACTCACTTCGGTGCATCAGCGCCGTACATCTCCTCCAGCTCCTCTTCATTCTCTTCGTAGTCGTCCGACTCATCACCAGGTGTTAAACCAAGAGTGTTGGTCTTTCTCTTCTTCTTCTTGCCTGTCGAGGCAGCATCAGGCTTCTGATGGTGAGTTGGGGGGGTCTGTGCCGTCGGGCCTCTATTGCGGTTGCGCGACTTGTCGCCACCGAACTGAGCACGAGGCCTCGAGTTATTGTGGTGACCGCCGCGATTATGCCGAGGGTTGTGACCGACGTGATGATCATATGGAGCAGGTGCAGGCATATACGGGGCCGGAGGCGGATACGCTTGATACGGTGCGGGATAAGGACCTGGCGAGCCTTGATGACCACCGTACGGTTGGGCCGGATAAGGGCTGCTCACTGGAGCAGGAGGCGCTTGCTGGCCGTTGTTGTCAAAGCCGATTCGAATCGGTGGTCCCATCATTTGGCCCTTGTGCCCACTTCTATCGTTGTACCCTCGGCCACCGCGGCTTCCGCTACCGAAACTGTTCTGGCTGTGGGGTTGAGCGTGGCCTCCCCACTGTTGCGCCGGCGGTCCAGGCTGGGGCGCAGGTGTAGGGTAGGGAGCGCCGTAGTGCGGTTGCGCCGGGGGATACGCTGGCTGGGCGGCGTACGGTTGCGTCTGCGGCTGCTGGTGGTACAGCTGGGGAGCATAGTTTGGGTGGTAATTCGAGGCAGGCAGCGGATTGTGGGCAGGAGGCGGCTGGGGGTGCTGCGGGGCATGCTCGGGGTGCCAGGGCTGCTGGGGTTGTTGCGGCGTTGGGTAGGCTGTCTGAGGAGGATGAGGGCCAGGATAGGGGGCGGGGTTCTGCTGTCCGTACGGAGCAGGCGGCTGGTTGTATCCGTAGGTCGGGGCAGGCTGGTGATATCCACCACGGTCGGGGCCTCCTCGACCCCGTCCACTGTGACCGCCTCGATGGGGACCCTGCTGATACGGCTGGTTATTGTACTGAGCATAACCGGCCTGGCCATTTGTCGGAGCGGCAGGCGGAGGGGCCGGCGGAGGCGGCCCGTAATTGTACGCCATGGGCTTCAATGACTCTGAGCGTTTTGGACTGACGACTAGGTAGAATAGCTGGAAGACTTCCCAGAAGGAAACGTGAGGAAAACGCGATCAGACGACGCAGAGCTCCGAAAAAGCACGCCTGCTTTTCACTTGAATGACCAACTGCTAGCAGGTGCGATACAGATATACCTTCGACGCTTTGTTGGAAGGTGGATCTAGGGTGTTGAGAAACAGGGAGAAGTGATGGGTTGTGGAAGGGAGTTGGGATGGGTGAGTTTTAGTGAAGGTTGCCGAGCGTCAATGCTTATTGTATACATAGGGTTAGGGTTGGGTGTGGCCCCCCAGCAAACGAACCTTTAGACATGGACAACACGCAGCGAAAGTCACTGACACATGGGATGGAGCAATTAATTCTGACGGTGAGCTTCATCACGTGCGGAAGTAAAATTTGAGACGGAAAGCTGCGACCTGTCGAGATTCCGCAACAAATGGAGACGAATCACGTGACGTGATGGCATTGCTGCAGTGTAGGTGTGATGCAGTTTTGAGGTTTGACCACCCCCTTCTATGGGAAAGAATCCTTGAACTCGGGAATATGAAATCGAAGAGTCACTTGCCAAATTCCTTCAAAAAATGTGACTTGCACGCATGATTTCGGCCGTTTGAACGCCAAGTTGAGAAAATTTTCCGTGTTTTCAAAGCAACACAAGTTCATAAACTTTCGCCTCTCCCATCCTTCCTTGCCTCTGTTTCTCCCTCTATAAATACTCGCCAACGAGTTGAAAATGTTCATCCTCGTAAGTCCACACATTTACACCCCCGTAGGCTTTCTGACAAGTAATTTCGCGCAAATAGACCAAAATTGCCGATCTGGTGCAGATCGCGCCAGAAGATTTTGGCAAACAGAGTCACGTTGCAATCGAGGACAATCTCAACGCCAAGTATGCAAACAAGGTGTGTGACGCCTTGCGCTGGATCTAGCCTACCCAGTCACTCACCGCCCTCTAGGTCGTCCAAAAAATTGGTCTGTTTGTGTGCCTCTGGGATATCCTCTGGACGTCCGAAGGCCTGATAGGGCAAGGCGATGGGTTCGCCAATGTCAACGGCAAGCCAGACTAAATCTCAACAATCCAGTTGTCCCACTGACCGTATTTGCAGTTGAGTGCCGCATGGTCGTCTTTCGTCCTTTCAAGGGGGAAGTAGTTGTTGCACGCATTGCGAGTCAAACGCGGGAAGGGATCAGCCGTATGCTTTGCGTCCCATTTCAGATTTCTCCGTTTGTTAATATTGCAGTCCAGTTGCCACCGATTTTTTTCACGATATTTTCGTCCCCTGGTCCGAGTTGCCTGAGGGCTCAGAATTGTACGTCCCACAATCTAACCCTCCTCTGACTTCGTCACTGATTCGCTCCCATCAAGTGAGACGAGAGAGGGTCTGTGGGTGTGGAGGGAGGATGACCAAGAGATGTTCTACGACAATAACGAGATGGTCCGCTTCCAGGTGCTGTCTGAAGAGTGGCACGACCAGGCGCCCTCGGGCCCATTGGACTTGGCCGATCAGCCCGCAAGCGAACTGCTGCCCCCGTACAAGATCACCGGATCCATGAAAGCGCCTGGCCTCGGCTGCGCAATATGGTGGGAAGAATGAGGGGTTGAACAGGTAACGGCGGCGGCCAGAGACAGGATGATCCAGGATACCGGCACAACCAACGAGTTATAAAGGATGTGTATACATACAGACCGGTTTTCTCTATATATTGATACCCTCTAGCAGGCGTTGC